TGTAGGATGATTAAATGAGGGTGGGGGTTTGGGGGGATGTAGATACTGAGTGTTTTTTTACCCTAGAGACAAGGGCTAGCCAGTTATGCTACATTTCCCAGCCCCAACCTCATTTAGAAGGAAAAGACATGAAGGTTTTTAAAGACACAGCACTTCTGAGGGTTTTCTCTCCAGACAGGGATGAAAGGAAGCCATTGGTTCTCGTCCAAGTCACAATTTATCCACGCTACAAGCCATTCATTATCATTATCATGGCTATTGGGTGGACCTAATTCCCTTTCAAATCAACTGTCAATCCTCATTTGGCTTTTTCTCTTCTTAAAGGCTCTGGTATTCTCCCGTGGACCGGTCAGCCATGCCAAGGCTAGTATAAGGAGACAACATGGACATAGAGATAGAGAGGCGTTTTGGAACCACAGTCTTCATTATCTATTGGGATTCATGTGTTTTCCAAACATCAAACTAGCTTTTGAATGGGCTAACAGAGACATGCTGGTGAAAGCATGTCTAATCAAACTGAACTGTTGTCTCTAACCAAAAGCCTCAGTCTAGTGCACATTCAAACTAAACAAGTGTAAAAAACCTGGGCAAAAAAATTACAGTGAAGATACATTCTCCTGGTTTATAATATAGTTGTAAGTCAAGCTAACTGCCTCACATCTAGAGCAGTTTTTGTACATTTTGTATATTTGTATATTTATGCTTTTGGGTTATGAATCGCAACTGACTAAACCCCTCCAACTGAGGTCGGGATCTCAGGAATATTTTGGGAATGCTACAGGGAATGGCATGGGATATTTAAAAGGGATAAGCTGGGTTCACTTAGTGCAGATGTGATGTAGTGCCTCTCTCTATCTCCCGAGGCCAGGGCACATTCAGAGCAGAGATTGGTTACATAACCCCCACATATGCCTTGCACTCTCGCTCGCTCTCTCTCTCCCTCTCTCTCCCCCTCGTTCTCTTACTCTCCCTCTCTCTTTCTCCCTCTCTCTCTCTCCCCCGCTCTCTCTCCCTCTCTGCCTCCTCCATCTCAGTCCACTACTAGTAGAATAGGAACAGGTGGGTGGATAGGGCTCGGCATTCAGCATCATCCCCTCCATCGCCCCTCTGAGCTGGACAGGGCAGGGCAGAGTGAGGTGGGTAGTGGTGGAGAGTGGGGTTGGGTGGCATGGATCAGATGGATGGATGGGGGGATGGAAAGTCATCCACTAAGTACTGGATAGATTAATCTACATAGATAGATATACATACCACTAGATTAACCTAACGAGGCGATGTAGCTGCACTCTGATTGAGTTCAAATGCCAACAATCAACCTTGTAAAGAGGATCACGCAAAGGCAAGGACACATCCATGCATTATAGCCGCCAGCTCTGTGTGTGTATGTGTGAGTGTGTGATTGTGTGCATGTATGCGTGTGTGTGTTACAGCTCCATAGATTACGGAAGTAGAACAGTAAACATTGGTAAATAATGCACTGTACAGGCAGCTTAATCCGGCGGCAGCTTGAATCAAACATTATATCATGACCAGGACTGTACATTCACTTCACTTCAGCAGAGTGGATCTAGATTCTAGCCAAACGTTAAGCCCACCAAGCAAAGCCTGTTATATAAAATGGGTTTTTATAGTCTTTAGAGCAGAAATGACTCGAACTCGACTCTAGTTGCTGTTGGCTTGTCTGTCACAACGGAAATAGCAGGTTGCTTCAGAAGACTAGACCACCACACAGTTCACTTCACAGAGTCATTTAATAATTGATGGTTTTAAAAATGGCCCCAAAAGAAATGTTAAAAGTTATTGTAATATATTCTCAGTCCCCTGGGCTAGAGGAGCCGACTAAAAGTAGGCTACCACTTTGATATTATCAACATTACCAGTTATCCATGGTAACACACCTGTTCTGGCTAGAATCTTCTCTGCTACAATGTTCTCTTCATGACACAGGTCTACTCACTTGACATGCACTTCATCCCAACTAATCTGCAAGATAAGGAACAGCGCGGTAAAACATACATCTACGTCCATCCCAAATGAGGGTGAAGGGGAAGGGAAAAGGGGGGAAAAAAAAAAAGGGGAAAAAAAAAAAAGAGGGGAAAAACCCCGGAAACCCAAAGGGAAAAAAAGGTAAAAAGGGGGGGGGGGGGGGAAAAAGGGGGGTTTAAAAAGGGGGGAAAAAAAGGGGGGGTGGGGGGGGGGGGGGGGAAAAGGGGGGGAAAAGGGCAAAAAGGGGAAAAAGGAAAAAACCCAAATTCCGGGGGTTTATTCCGAAGACCCCACACCCTTAAGCCCAAAAGGGGAAAACCCCAGAAAGGGCCCCCGAAAAATGGTAATTTTTGAGGCTTGGGGTTTTTAAATTTAAGGGAAAGCCCGCTTGTGGTTTGGGGCCCGCCCCCGGAATCAAACAATACAACGACTGTCATCCCAGGCTAGACCAACTGCCCGAGCTAAAATGCAGGCTTGCTATGATGGTCTCAAGACTAGACCCACAGTCCTCCGAGCTTTAGATATGGCCCAAAAAGAAAAGTAGAAATTCTAGAATATGGCCCTGCATAAAAGGACTTATGGTATCCATCACACTGATACACTCAAGCACTTGACTAAACCTGCATCTTCTATCCCACTAATGGCAATGGCTGAATGAAAGAGAGAGAAGAGAGAGAGGAGAAGAGAGAGAGAGAGAGAAGAAGTAGAGAGAGATAGAGAGACGACCAAGAGAGAGAGAGAGAGAGCCGCGAGATAGCCTCTCCCGAGAGATGATCGAGAACTGCCAGAAAAGAAGAGAAAAGACCGGAGAGAAGTTCCGACGGGATGACTGAAACACAGTGAGTCAGTGTTTACCTCCATGGCGAGCGCGGCGGTCTGCTGATCGTAGTGGTTGAGGAGGTTGGGCATGAAGGTGGAGTTATAGAGCAGCCCCTGACACATGCGCAGGGTGATAGGTTCACAGGTGAACATGCTGTGGCTCCCAGCAGCAGACTCCATGGGGATGGCCTCTACCACCACCGCTGGAGCCATCAGCAGGGACATACACAGCACCCACAGCAGCCCCATGGTCCCCACATGCAGGGGCAGGGGTGAAGAGGGACCCAGGCTGGGCACAGGGGCAGGCCGAATCATCTGCCTCATTCACAAAGGTCGGTGCAAGAGAGAGAGATCACGAGTGGTACAGGTAAGTGACAGTCAGGGGAGAGACTGGTCCTATTCCTGGTCTCAGAGAGTGACAGTCTGTGTGCGTGGGTATAATCCAAGATGGCCGCCATGGCTGAAGCTGGCTGTATCCATCACCCTCTTGAGTCATAGGAGCTCCATCACCTGAGCATGAGGCCTGATGTTGGGTGTTGGACCACTTCTCACCACATTGCTGTGTTTATACACAGAATATAAACAATGATTTGGATCAGAGTGGATCCCTGCAGTAGGCGTAGATGTCAAGGGATCTGGGGGGAGAATAAAGAGGGGGGAAAGTAAGCACATTGTAGCCTGAATAACAAATGCTTACAAAATGTAAATAATTGTAAATCCAACTACACAATATGTTAAGAGGCACTTTATGAGAAATTATCCATTATAATATTTTCATGGTGATTATAATCTGGTATGTGGGTGGATATGGAATAAGTGAATTTGGGTGGATATGGAATAAGTGAATTAGTGCACCAATTATATTTCTGTAGTAGCCTGACAGTACCATAATAGTACAGTTATTGCAATTTGCATTATATCTTGTTTCTATAAATATGTGCACACCCTGTTGGAAGAGGATTATTCACTAGAACCTATTTTCCACAGCATCCTTTACCACTAACAGATCATGGACTTTCAAATATGACACGTAATACAACCGAAACATTTGACACAATATTTGATATTTCACAATTGAATATACTGGTAGTGGCTTGCACTGTAGGCAAATGACTGTGCGTAATAGCATTTACTGACGTCTTCGGCAGGCTTTTCGCGCATTACATGCTTAGAACCATCTTACAAAACTACTGGTAAATAGACACAACAGTGATGACATGAAACTATAGTAGTTTTTATCTGTCAAAGTCAGCTGGCCACTCCTCCGACAGCGCGTAATGGACAAACACATTTTATCCGATAAATAAAAATGTTATGAAGCAGAACAAAAGATGACGGTTGGGCTACTTCATCTCAACTGATAGTGACCGTATGTAGACTAGTCTACCTAAACTGAATCTATACAGGCGTATCCCGATGGTATAATGTTACTACGATCCCGCCAGCCGTTTTGGCAATACGTGTCCACAATTCTGTAACATAAAATATCTAGGGGAGTGCCAGAAAATATAACAAAATAAGAAGATTTTACCTTTCTGTCGGGAAGATAATTCACGTGTAGGGGTCTTCGCCGCTCCTCGAGGCCGTAACAATGAGTGAATAGCCCACTCCTCTCCTGCTCCCTCTCTCCCTCCTCCTTTCCCAGCAGGTTTACAAATGATGTCCTCGAAGAGCGAGAGCGCGCATTAAACACAGACGCGCAGCAAACTGAACTCAATAGCCTACCTTTTCAGTTTGAAATGACACAATTATTTGTTTGAATGATTCACGCATTTAGTGTGGGCTGAAGGCCTGTCTACAAAGAATAAAATAAAAATGGAAAGAAGTGAGAGAAATGTGGAGAATATAGGCTATGACTGCATTGCAAGAAGTCATCAAACTCCCTGAATGGCAACATTTGTTGCAAACTAGACAACATCCGTATCATTGGGTGCAACATGCTCTGCGTGATTTGCAACACTGTGAACAGTGACATTGTATCCATTGAAACCACATGCATGCCGCACCTTGTGTGTGTGGATTGTTTTTCGGTGGCAACAGCGCCACCCCTGTGTGTCAAGCGGTGTTTGCGTCGCTCATGTCGTTGCTCTTGACTACGCAAAGCGGCGAAGGTGACAGGGTTGGGTAGAGAAGGAGAGGGGGAGGTGCACCCCACGGTACACCCATTACTATGGAAACTGGTAAACTGTACGAACGCTTCAAGAACACGGTGACATGTACTGGTAATCCTATGGACAAGATATGAATACATAACACCGAGGATTCGTGATTGGGATAATAACTATGCTTGCCTCATGCATCGGCTGGAGGAAATTGATGGTAGGACTAGTCCACTAGTCTAGTGGACCATGCACATATATAATATAGAGATACCAGAGCTAGTAATAGTGAAAGTATCTTATGTAGGTTTTATGTGACTGTGCATTGACTGACTAGACCTACTCTGATTTAATGAGTGAATAATGCACAAAAAAAGACACATGCAATAGCCCTAACCTATGATGATTCACTTCAATGTCTCTACCAGGTGATACAGTCTTCTTCTGCCTCCACGCAGATCTGACTTGTTGCCGACTTGTAGCTGCTGAAAGATGTCCTTTGCACCGAGGACCTCACTAACCTCTGCCAAGATGCAGACCAAGATGAGTGCCTGGACACCTCTTAACCACCAGCTGTCTAATAACAATGTAAAGGTCACTCTAATCTTTATAATAATCCAGTTTTAATGTAATCTTGAACTTAGATGAAATATCTCTCTTCTTTAGGTGTTTGAAGAGCGAAGAAACCTGCTGGGAAAATGGGTACGCGAGCCTCTAAAAATGGAAGGTTATAAATGGATAAAATATTAACCTTGGAGAATAGGTTAGACATACAGCAATGCAACCAGAACCACATAGAAACAGTCATTTTACAGCTTTTAACGTCTACTTTATTTACCCACATCTGAAGAATGTGCTTGTACAGTATACATCAGTTAGGATTAACTGATGCCATCCCTGTGTATGTGTTTGTGTGTGTCTGTCTGTCTGTTAGTTTGACAAGTGGAGCGACGGCCAGAGGAAGGCGGTTCTACAGGACTTCTTCTTGCGGTGTTCAGTGGGCCAGCTGCGGTTCCTCCGTCAGAACCTGACCAAGAGGGTTCCGGAGGAGAACCTAGACTTCACTTCTGTCCTACCCAGAGTTCTCTCTCTCTATGTCTTCTCTTTCCTCGACCCTAGGAGCCTTTGCAGGTGTGCACAGGTAGGTAGGTAAGGGCTGCTGGAGTGTTTCTGGTCTTGTTCATATATGTAGCAGAAATTGAACAGTAAACAACTTATGTGACTGAAGATTTTGCAGCTATTTTATTTAAAATATGAGACACTACCTCTCTCTCTCTCTCTCATTCTATAATAATAGGTTCCTAGCTACATCCACCCAGTCATTTCAGCATCATACATGTGCTATTAGACACTGCATTACCACACTTAAATGTATGACATGTTCTGGCCCATCTTAGCGGTACCTGTGTACGTGTGTTGGCAGGTGAGTTGGCACTGGAAGGGCATAGTTGAGTTGGACCAGCAATGGATGCCCAAGTGTCTTAGACTGGGCTGGTGCATCAACTTTGCCCCCACACCGTTTGAACAGGGGGTCTGGAAGAGACATTACATAGAGACAGTACTGGAGCTCCACATCGGCAAGCCTAAGGTGAGTTACTGGAGGCCTGGACAGTGTATAAAACTACCTGCATGGAACAGACACAGTTTTTTGTGTGTTTCTGTGTGTTCAGACTCCATCACAGCAGAATTTCATTGTCCCTGAGGTGATGTCCATAAACAGTGTGACGTTTGACCAATCAGCGAGCTTCCAGCGAGAGAGGAGCGTTGGCGGCACCACGAGGGGGTCAGGAGGGTCCCAGCTGAAGGGGCTACCCCCGTGGAGGGGTGCAGACAGACACCCCACTGACACTGTGCGTTTCAATTATCTGGAGAATCTGGACCCCATAGAGCACGCCCGCCAAGTGTAAGACCACTTCCTCTAGTATGTAGTTAGTTTGTGTGTGTGTGTGTGTGTGTGTGTAGTGAAATGGTTACCAAACCATTGCATTCATTCCCAAATGAAAGCACAATCAATTCTTAATTGCCCCTGAGGCTATAAATAAAGTATAACATTGAATTGAACAATCAGACATCGGTTAAATCAGGCTATGAATTCCATGTAACTTGACCTGGTGTTCCAGTGACAATGGTCTGTTTTCCAGAAAAGTGAAGAGTACAGGGGTTTTCAACACAGACAATGCAAAGAAGAAAGAGCTGTCTACAGCCAATTATAAACTGCGAAAGGCAAAGTCATTGGTAAGTACCTCTCATCAGAATATGACCAGTCTGAAGACCCTATCTTGGATAACAGCCAAGGGAATGCTTAGAATTCACACACACAAGCACACCAAGAGACATAATGCATATTGAACAGACTTTACATGGAAATTCATGTTAATGCATTACCCTTGGGACTGTGTGTGTGTGTCAGTGAGGACAAAAATGCTGATGCTGCTACAGGGGAGGAGAGAGAACACTGTCATTGAACATTCTAAGTGTTTCCGTTTACAGAAATACCAGAAATACCACACATTTTATCAGTAGAAATACCAAACTAAAAGATAAAACACACCTAAATATATTGTTAACTTTACTTATCGTCTCATCTGGCAACTTAGACACAGATTGTGACAATACAGACAGTATAACATGTAGGCATGCATCAAAATATCCATTGTTTGCATCTGTTCTTCTCCTTCTTAGATGTTCCTGTCCTTGGACCTGACTCCAGGTTCGGGTTCTGGAGCAGGGCAGCAGAAGCAGAATCGGTTCCGCCCCCAGTGGGCCACACAGAGCCTGGAGTACCCTGTCACCAAGGCAACAGCCAAGAGCCTGTCGCGGTCGAGCCAATGGAACGCTGGGATACGACCTGGTCCGGTGAGGTCAGCGGTGCCTAGGCTCAGTCAGGAAGGACTGAGGGCATCAATGAGGACACACAGGAGTACACCTAGTAAGAAACACGACTAAAGACCTGCATGTTTAGAATGCATCTTTCCTTCCTTCCTCTCTCCCTTCCTTCCTCCTATCCATCACAGAGGACACACAGGACCACGCCTAGTAAGACAATAGATGACCAATCCTTTCAATGTACATTCTTGGTTGAACTATAACAGAATGAGCTCTCCATCAAAAAGGAATCCTTTCTTTGTCTCTGTGCTGAAGTCTCTGTGTCCAAGGAAACACGTGACATTACATTCGTACTCAATTAATGCTTTCTTTCATAGCGTGAATGTTCTGTATCATGTATGATGTATAATTGACTTACATGTTTTGGGGTTTCAGCAACACCACTGTTTGAGGGACAGCCTTGGAGGATACAAGCTTCCAGTGGTGGATCAGACGAGTGAATCATATCGCCACCTTGTGGAGCACTTTAGTACTGCAGCACATCCAGGATACAGCAGCGATTCTCAACTGGGGTGTTGTGATCAACATTCCCTCAAATGTTTTGGGGCACTGAGCAATCTTGAACATTGTGGGAATTTTGTGCAACTTCTGGCGCGCGTTTATAGTGAACACTGTGGCTGTACCCTTACAGTTTTAGACAATAGGCTTTTGTGGCTATTTGAGCATAATGGAGCAAATCGGATAACATTTTCACATGGAAATAGCTTTTGATTTTTATGATATAGCCTACAGTAGCCTATATGTGGTGTTCAATGCAGGCTTACATTGCATAAGACTTTAAACAAAGTTTGTACATTATGAAGGGCTTGACATTAATTAATGATTTTGTACACCATGGGCCAATTAGGTGACTGTAAATGGCATTGTATTGTGTTGTATGATGCAAGAAACCACTTTACAAAATAAAATACATTATTATCACCATACAGAGAATTAGACAATGTAGGCTACCCCTTCTGCCTATTGGCTTATGTGCATATTCAAGCCTGTCTCAAAATACAACACTGCCTCTTTAATTAAGACATAAGCTTTTTACCTGACTGGCTTTTCAAAGACAGGTTGAAATGTAGCCTACACGTTTTGTGCTCTTGTAGGAAGCAGTAACTCCCCATTGCTGACCTACACTTATCTTTAACTGGGCTAATAACTTGCTAACCGCATGCACGTTGACACGGTCGCCAGGTGTACGGTGTTTCCTCCGACACATTGGTGCGGCTGGCTTCCGGGTTAAGCGTGCATTGTGTCAAGAAGCAGTGCGGTTTGGTGGAGTTGTGTTTCGGAGGACGCACGGCTCTCGACCATCGCCTCTCCCGAGTCCGTACGGGAGTTGCAGCGATGGGACAAAACTGTAACTACCAATTGGATATGACGAAATTAGGGGAGAAAAATGGGTTAAAAAAAAACAAACAACAAATGACTTGCTAACTAGCAAAGAAAATCAACAAATGTGCACATTCGCGGCTCTGATCTGAAAAGCGCATTTACTCTACGCCGTTGCGCTCTGGCTTTGCCTACAACAAAATCACAGAGTCATTCTTGTAAAGTTAGATTTGTTTTGGTTTGTTGCATTGAAAAGGGGCTGATATAATGTTGATTCGATCACAGAAAAAAACGTTGATCTATATAGTGCAAACAAATGGGGCGAACTCAGTGAAGTTCAATCTCTTGCATCTCTGCGCAGCATGGCATTTATTTTGCACCGCAGTCCTGGAGGAAGTGCGCGGCCGTACGCGCACAGTTTAGAGGGAACCTTAGTCGTGACCCAAATTTGGATCACGAAAGGTTTCAAATGGGTGTCTGATTAAAATACAATTGGAATTGTTTTGGGGGGATGAAAAATACTCCAGTCTGCACGTAAACTACTAAAGCCAGGTAAAGTGTGTAGAAATGATCAAGTGATCCTACATTTTTGAAAAATGTCTTCTCTGAAAACAATTTCTCTTCAATTAGTATTTTCAACATAGAGCTATTATCAGCGCTATTTAGCGGCTTTGGTTGATTTTGTGGTCTCAAACCAGTGAGCATACAAACATTCTTCATCAATAATATGGGTAAAATTGATTATTAACAATGGAAAAGTTGGGAACGTTGTTCCCTTGTCATATAAATTGCTACATTTACTATCAATCGTGGTCAGAAGTTTTGAGAATGACACAAGTATTGGTCTTCACAAAGTTTGCTGCTTCAGTGTTTTTAGATATTTTTGTCAGATGTTACTATGGTATACTGAAGTATAATTTCAAGCATTCCATAAGTGCCAAAGGCTTTTATTGACAATTACATTAAGTTTATGCAAAGAGTCAATATTTGCAGTGTTGACCCTTCTTTTTCAAGACCTCTGCAATCCGCCCTGGCATTCTGTCAATTAACTTCTGGGCCACATCCTGACTGATGGCAGCCCATTTTTGCATAATCAATGCTTGGAGTTTGTCAGAATTTGTAGGTTTTTGTTTGTCCACCCGCCTCTTGAGGATTGACCTCAATGGGATTAAGGTCTGGGGAGTTTCCTGGCCATGGACCTAGAATTTCGATGTTTTGTTCACAGAGCCACTTAGTTATCACTTTTGCCTTATGGCAAGGTGCTCCATCATGCTGGAAAAGGCATTGTTCATCACCAAACTGTTCTTGGATGGTTGGGAGAAGTTGCTCTCGGAGGATGTGTTGGTACCATTCTTTATTCATGGCTAAGTTCTTAGGCAAAATTGTGAGTGAACCCACTCCCTTGGCTGAGAAGCAACCCCAGGATGCTTTACTGTTGGCATGACACAGGACTGATGGTAGCGCTCACCTTGTCTTCTCTGGACAAGCTTTTTTCCGGATGCCCCAAACAATCGGAAAGGGGATTCATCAGAGAAAATGACTTTACCCCAGTCCTCAGCAGTCCAATCCCTGTACCTTTTGCAGAATATCAGTCTGTCCCTGATGTTTTTCCTGGAGAGAAGGGGCTTCCTCGCTGCCCTTCTTGACACCAGGCCATCCTCCAAAAGTATTCACCTCACTGTGCGTGCAGATGCACTCACACCTGCCTGCTGCCATTCCTGAGCAAGCTCTGCACTGGTGGTGCCCCGATCCCGCAGCTGAATCAACTTTAGGAGACGGTCCTGGCTCTTCCTGGACTTTCTTGGGCGCCCTGAAGCCGCCTTCACAACAATTGAACCTCTCTCCTTGAAGTTCTTGATGATCCGATAAATGGTTGATTTAGGTGCAATCTTACTAGCAGCAATATCCTTGCCTGTGAAGCCATTTTTGTGCAAAGCAATGATGACGGCACATGTTTCCTTGCAGGTAACCATGGTTAACAGAGGAAGAACAATGATTTCAAGCACCACCCTCCTTTTAAAGCTTCCAGTCTGTTATTCTAACTCAATCAACATGACAGAGTGATCTCCAGCCTTGTCCTCGTCAACACTCACCTGTGTTAACTAGAGAATCACTGACATGATGTCAGCTGGTCCTTTTGTGGCAGGGCTGAAATGCAGTGGAAATGTTTTTTGGGGATTAAGTTAATTTTCATGGCAAAGAGGGACTTTGCAATTCATCTGATCACTCTTCATAACATTCTGGAGTATATGCAAATTGCCATCATAAAAACTGAGGCAGCAGAGTTTGTGAAAATTAATATTTGTGTCATTCTCAAAACTTTTGACCACGACTGTAGTATTACAAATATTTTTCCAGATATATATATATTTTTTGCACTGCTGATATTTTGTTGCGACCGAGACAACGTGTTCCAATTTGGGTCCGGAGGCAAAACCAGTTGAGAACCACTGGTATACAGTACAGAGGAAGAACAGCACTACATACAGTGCATTCGGAAAGTATTCAGACCCCTTGACTTTTTCCACATTTTGTTACATTACAGCCTTATTCTAAAATTGATTAAATTAATTCATTTTCTCATCAATCTACACACAATACTTTATGACAAAGCGAAAACAGGTTTAGAAATGTTTGCAAAAGTATTAAAAATAAAAATCAGAAATACCTTATTTACATAAGTATTCAGACCCTTTGCTATGAGACTCGAAATTGAGCTCAGGTACATCCTGTTTCCTTTGATCATCCTTAAGATGTTTCTACAAGGTTCACCTTCCAATGGGACAACGACCCCAAGTCCACCTGCGGTAAATTCAATTGATTGGACATGATTTGGAAAGGCACACATCTGTCTATATAAGGTCCCACAGTTGACAGTGCATATCAGAGCAAAAACCAAGCCATGAGGTCAAAGGAATTGTCCGTAGAGCTCCAATATAGGATTGTGTCGAGGCACAGATCTGGGGAAGGTGACTACATTTTATTTGCAGTTTTGACAGTCCCCAAGAACACAGTGGCCTCCATCATTCTTAAATGGAAGAAGTTTGGAACCACCAATACTCTTCCTAGAGCTGGCCACCCGGCCAAACTGAGCAATCCGGGGAGAAGGGCCTTGGTCAGGGAGGTGACCAAGAACCCGATGGTCACTCTGACAGAGCTTCAGAGTTCCTCTGTGGAGATGGGAGAACCTTCCAGAAGGACAATCATCTCTGCAGCACTCCACCAATCAGGCCTTTATGGTAGAGTGGCCAGACGGAAGCCACTCCTCAGTAAAAGGCAGATGACAGGCCGCTTGAAGTTTGCCAAAAGACAACTAAAGGACTCTCAGACCATGAGAAACAAGATTCTCTGGTCTGATGAACCCAAGATTGAACTCTTTGGACTGAATGCCAAGCGTCACATATGGAGGAAACCTGGCACCATCCCTACGGTGAAGCATGGTGGTGGCAGCATCATGCTGTGGGGATGTTTTTCAGCGGCAGGGACTGGGAGACTAGTCAGGATAGAGGGAAAGATGAACAGAGAAAAGTAAAGAGATCCTTGATGAAAACTGGCTCCAGAGCACTCAGGACCTCAGACTGGGGCAAAGGTTCACCTTCCAATAGGACAACGACCCTAAGCACACAGCCAAGACAAAGCAGGAGTGGCTTAGGGACACATCTCTGAATATCCCAGCCAGAGCCCGGACTTGAACCCGATTGAACGTCTCTGGAGAGACCTGAAAATAGCTGTGCTGTGACACTCCCCATCCAACCTGACAGAGCTTGAGAGGATCTGCAGAGAAGAATGGGAGAAACTCCCCAATTACAGGTGTGCCAAGCTTGTAGCATCATACCCAAGAAGACTCGAGGCTGTAATCGCTGCCAAAGGTGCTTCAACAAAGTACTGAGTAAAGGGTCTCAATACTTATGTAAATGTAATATTTCAATTTTTTAATAAATGTGCAAACATTTCTAAAAACCTGTTTTTGCTTTGTCATTATGGGGTAGTGTGTGTAGATTGATGTAAGGTTTTATGTTTTAAATCCATTTTAAAGTAAGGCTGTAACGTAACAATGTGGAAAAAGTCAAGGTGTCTGAATACTTTCCGAATGCACTGTACTGGAGAATTGAGACTTAGAAGAGAAGCCGTTCAACCAAACACAGTACTGGGAGGATGGAACTGATAGTGTACTCGAGACAGGATTTACATCAAATCATGTTGACGTTAATTTCCACCAAGTTTAATTATGACAGGAATACACAATGTATGGACATATGACTATGATTTGATGTTTGGTCTGGAAAATGTCAATAAAATATTCATGACAACAAACCCAGGTGCAGAAAATGTACCAGTTTAATTTTCAGTTCACACATCCATTCAATATGCAATATAAAGCAAAAGCCATTCATAAACATCGAACCAACGTTCCAAACCATTAAAAACTATTGTCAGTTAAAACAAATCAAATTTATATTCAAATATCTCAATAATATTCAACACAGCTTGCATACAACACAATAATAATAGCATACTGGGCTGAAGACATTGTGTAGTTCAATACTGAAAGAAGTTTGACAGAAATATTTTTTGGAATTAAACCTTTGAAACATCCTCAGTGTATTGATGTATAAGGTGTACATTTAGCTTGACATTTCTGACAGTCCATGTACAGTATTCATTAATTGCATATATACATTGCATCCATCACACACAAAAAGTATGGCTCACACTTGTCACAGTGTATTATGGATCACCAGAAAATATAGAAAATAATAAACAATTAACATGAATGTTAAAATCCATGGTGGATATTTGACCTATTTTTTTTCTAAAATGTTTGTTAGTAGTATTGTATTATCATGATGAGTAATGTTACTGAGATGCATTGAGTATGTAAGGATTTTATTGAAGCTTGGATGACATTCTAAATAGATATTCACTGTGTGTGGATTTGAAACTCTATAATAGCCCTTTGTCTCATTTCACAACACTGTAGAGCTTAATAATTTACTGTATAATTAAATACATTTAATTAATAATTCTCTGAGGTTGGTGACTATTGTTCACTTAATGACAAGAAAAGGCACAAGACAAGCTACTTTAATCTAGCATAAAAGCCCATTAATGGTCATAGGGTTGTCGGTTTCTCTAATAAGGAAAAATGTGAACAGGATACATTTGTAAAGGCTTAGCTATTGTTTAGTAGCCTGAGTGCCAGTCTGTGCTATCATGCCAACTCCCTGTCACTCATTGTCAAGTGACAAATGTTTGGCTTGACAATGGCAGCATGCGAGTTAATTGGGCAAAATATCAGAATTGGGCAGCCTGTGTAAACACAGCCATAGTCTAAATGGTTCATCCCTGCATTTCCCCATCATTAAATAAAAAAGCTTCAATTCCACATGCGTCTGGACAGACAGGATCGAGACAGCAGCACAAGAAGTTAATGCAGATTTTCTACAAGTCATTAATCAATAACAAGCGATTGTCTGACCTTTACCAAACAACGTTTTTTCTCCAATTCATAGAACACCACATATTTCCAGAACAGCAGCCACTCACAATCCTGACATTTTGTAGATAACTTTCCAATATTGTTTTCCTGTTAATAATTAGATGACTGTAATATACCACTGAACCAAGTGAAAGATCTATACACCAGTGTATACATGCTGAATGAGCTTAGAGAATCCTCCTATAATGCCCCTTTGGTCAATGTTCATTAGCATGAAACAATGGTGCACACACAAAAAAACTGTTCAAAAGGGCAACACAAGTTACACAGTCTGAAATTGACATATTTAATCAAATCATCAAACCAAGACAGCCCAGGTTATAATAATATGCCATTTAGCAGACGCTTTTATCCAAAGCGACTTGAGCTACAGGGAACTCACTCAGGTTACTGCTTGGATATGGAGTCTAGATTTAATCTTTGAGTGCCTCCAAACAAAATCAGTGACACAAATATCTTTGTACATTTGGATGTAAGTAAAAGTATAGGAGTGAGCGACAAGGATAGGCTTTATTCTACAGAATGGCACTTTATGTGTACTGAAATGATAACTGGTATAAATGGGATTCATTAGAGTGTCATTTTTCACCCTACCAGAAGTGACTGTCTTGAAGTGTGACCGCAGTCCAATTCTCGACCCTTCTTCTCAAAGTGTGTACTCGTTCACACCCCTTCATAGAATGGACAGGTGTGGGAACTCACTCTAGTCAACACTTACACCAAACCAATGTTGAGGGTGAGGGAACGAGTGTACACTTCAGGTATAAGGATAGAGAACGGGACCACAGCAAGACTGAGGCTTCACTGGTCCATACAGGATAAAGGAGAACTACTAGGAGAGAAGTTAAGGCTCATCATCAGCACCACTATCCTACTACCCGAGTAGAGACCTCAAAATGGTGGAGGAAGGAATTGTTTTTGCCACTGCGTGTCACTTAAAAATAACCTGACATCATTTGTATTTACAGCTGCTTCTTTGAGCAATGGATTTGTGTTAGATACAAAGAGCCACACATACAAAAGGAACACACCTCATACATGAAAAATCAAGAAAACTAAATTACATACTGTATCCTCATCCTCCTGCCATAAAGGTTAAAACGTTTGGTTGATTTGTTTATTTCTTTTGGCGCCGTCACTTCCTTGCCAACAAAGCACAACAATGTCCACCAACTTACCAAGAACACTTTATATGAAAGCCATCATCACTATTCCCCTCAATGCTTCCCTTGCTAAATTCCAAACCAACCTCTAGTCCCTACCCTACTACAGGCACTTCTGTAGATCTGATAGGTTTGAACAATCAATCCACAGGAATTTTCGCCATATTGCTTACACCTATCCAATCATTCCATTCCACAGGGATTAGGTAGCCTGATATCAGATCAGTTTGTGCTGTCTTGCCAACAATGAACAACCATAGGCGTTAGGAAGACAGCGCAAAATGATCTGGGACCAGGTTGGGGGTCAATTTGGAATTCAGCTTCTGTTGACACTGAACCACCAATGATGAAGCTCCTTTCATTCGCCTGCTCACTCACAGGAGCCAACCAGAGTGCTTGTTTCTCCAAGTGCTGCTTGCCAAGCTCAGTTTGTAAGGCTGAAAGGTATACCCACAATTTGTGCTTCAACAGAATTACAGTATAGCCAATTCATTTTTCTAAGTAAAAAGGTACAAGTTCTATATGTTTCAGTAACTTGGAGGGAATGACTATGTAAATACACAAGTATTAACATCCAGTCTTAAATTATGTAAACATATACATCTTTTTTTGAGGTCAGTACATTGATCCTCTTTATATCAAAAAATGTTACTGAAGCATCGTTCGGATGTTTTTTGGAGTGGACTCGTCATTCAGGTGTTTCGTGGTGAACCTGAAAGAGAGAGCAGACTAATTTGAAGCAGGCCATAGGACTGAAACACCTACATGACATGGCCTTTTCTATTAAAATATGCCATATTACTAAAGGCTTTTAAAAGATATACAAGAGGCACATGGATTGTTTGCTGTATTGCCAAGAAACACGCTTTATACAAAAAGCACCCTGCCTACCATTCTCGAACATTGTAAATAGCACTCCTACCACGGCACCATTAAGAAATAATTTGGCATTTAAATTCAGAAACTTTAGTAAGATTTGACATTGCCTGTATCCTCCTCAGAGAAGTACTAAACCGAGGTGAGGCTAGAGACTTACTTGAGGGCGTTCAGGAGACCTTCAACGTTATCTGCTGGTTGTTCTTTCAGGACCTTTATGCATCCCTTCATCTGACGAAAAATAAAAAAAATGTATCTTGAAATACACATTTAAAGCATTCGAAATAGACACTCACCCACATTTTCCATTGACGTGATTTAGACGAAAGAGGGAATTACATTGCTAACATTAGGGTAAGATTGGGCCTTCAGGGTATTATGGTATCAGTATATATTAGAGAGGAGGTTCTCACGTCAATCTTGGAGGACTTGTTGAAGGCGCCGTTGGGATGGACGTGGTCGTACAGGATGATGACTCCAACCATCACTCTCATACAGAACAGCAGCGTGTCCTCACTGTTGAACCTGCTCGTGTAGTCCCTGGAGAGAAAGACACCGACATACACACACACACACACACGTGTCAATTCAAAGTACACGTTGAGTGGCATCAATAAACAGACGGTCGCTCTGGATATATTTCCCCTGGAATGTCGCTCTGCTAAAATGTCTACATGTCAAGTCAACTCACGGTGTCTCCAGCATGACTTTACAGACGCTGGCCATGGTGCTGAGAACGTCAGTGGTGTTCTCCAGGGGTAATGTCTTATTCTGGGGGGGGGGGGGGGGATAGAACATGGGGACTATTATCAACATAACACCAACTTGCCTTAAAATCAGACTGAACACGATGACTACACTTAACAGTGAACACCACTAAACGCTAACGGACGGTGCTGCTATCAACTTAAGTGAACACAAATCTTAACATCAAATCTTACCACAGAGCAGCTGACAACAAGGAGGAGAGGAGCAGTTTCTTACCTCTGTTACAAAGCTTGTCGTAGCTGTGCTTAAGGTTTTCAGCATGGGTGTCGCCTCGGCGTAGAACAGTGACATTCTGTTGGCCATCTCATTGTTGACCTCGCTCTCTATATCCAACTAGAGACAAGACAGGACAAGAGTAAAGCAGACTGTCAGTGTCAATATCTGATCCATCTTTAGCTTCAAGGCAGACGAGACTGGATGGCAACGACAAAGGAGTTCAGACTGCGAACCAAAAACCGACAAGCTATTCAGTCACAAACATTCTGGTAACGTCCCCAAAATTGCCAAGTTTTTCAGAAATCCTGGTTGCAGGATTGGGAAAGTTACAGGATTTTTGAAACCCTAGATATGACAGCGCTTTCTCTGACTCACATTCATGTTGTTTATCCTGTTTCGACTGATTGTCCTTCTGTAATAACTGAAGTCATTCTGGATGGCAGGAATTCTCATCTGAAAGAGAGGACAATCATTTAGTCCCAACACAGACAATATGGGAACTCTTATTTACCGGAGGGAATAAAACAGGTGCAAACATTGCACTTCTACAGAAAAATGAACAGCTTGAAATGATGTGTGTGTGTGTGTAATGAAAGTGTTGTTTGACGATGTAGCGTTCCAATAGCAGTGATATGTCAGTCTGACCTTGAGTTCATCAAAGCGCAGGGTGAAGTGGAGGATCTCAGCAAACTGTTTGGCCAGAGCCTGCTCCTTCTCCAGGTGCTGGGTGGGGGTGTAGGGGGGACACGTCAGGGACTCCAGCAGGCTCTGAAGAGCCTTCTCTACAGGAGGAGAAACACACAGATATTACATTACAAACACGAGTAAGGTTTTAAACACGCCAGGCTCTCTAGCAGACTATGCATGGCCCTCTCTACACACACCAGGAGAAGGAATGAGGCTAGGTTGATTAAAACAGTTTTCAGGTCTCAAATGTGAAAAAGACTACACTTAAAAGACATGCTCCCGAACTTTGGCGAATACTAAGTATTTTTTCTACCTCCCGCTTTGGGCTGGATGTGTCAATATGTAGTTTATACATGCATCATTTTTTTGCAGAATTACTGTTTTACCTCAATTAGCCACATCTAGCAAGAGGCACATCTTGCACCCACAGCAAAGCGAGAGAGCAATGACGTGGTGCTCATATCTGCACATGTGTGACGTAGTACGCAATTTTCGGGGACCACTTTTAGCTCGTAAGCGCTACTTTCAGAACAACTGCCTAAAAAAGTATACAAAATTACCAAAGAATCCCTTTACAATAATAGTATAGCACCATCACAAAATTGGATTTATTGGCTTTTGACAGTAATTCTAAATGTCATCCCCTCTGTGCTTCTTCGTGGAGGGATGAATGTTGGATTTACCTAATCTCAGCGAGAAGCCGTAGAACTTTTTGAGCCGTATGACTAAGGGGCAGACTGAGTTCCATGCTCTCTCCTGTAGGAGCATGTCATTGGGGTTCTGAATGGCCTGGGGACACACAGACAGACAGACACCATGGTTAAATATACATAATCTATATGGAATATTTAAAAAAACAGGTCAGAGAATTGGAAATCATTTTGAGATCATTAATTGAACGATAAATGTATAGGTTTGTTTCAGTTTGTGTGTGTGTGCGCACATTTGTGAGTGTACTGAATATGAATAGCTTATGTCTACGACTGTTTGTGAGTGTGTGTCAGCATTATCCAGTAGATATACATACATCTCGTATCTCCTGTCCTGCTCCCTTGTAGGCCTGTAGGCCAGAGAGAATGCTCTCAGAGTCCTGGAGCACCGTGTTCACCTGGTTCCATACCTCCCTCTCACAGTCTGTAGGCTGTGCATCTGACACACAACAACAACAGTTAGCCTGGCTAGCTAGCAGGCAGCACATAGACAACAAAACACTGTACATGAAACTCCTACACATTGACACTTTGGTTTTCAAAGATTAAATGTGATGAGGCAAACTGTACGTTTACAAGAATTGGGAAGTTTCAATGTGTATGCCTTTATCGGTTTGTCAAAAATAATCACGTACATATAGGCCATTTTCTCGCACCGTAATACAACTTCTAAGCAATTAATAGAATGCTATCAATTTACTTTAGTGAGGGAATTATAAAACATTCAGCAAGCACGACAAACATGAATATCTCTGGAATCAAAGCTAGACTAAATCTAAACCATGACTAGACAAAGCAAGGCTACTCTGTGGTAAACAGGTCAGCAGCATGGTATCTTACGGTATTAAAGCAGCATGACCTGCTCCTCCCTATGAAGCTACAGCAGGCTGAGGCTTACAGCTCTGCCCTTTAGAAGGCTAGCTTTTCAAAAGCATACTCATGGCATTTTCATATTATAAGCTGCAGCTAACACACAGTCAGTAGCCTACATTATTTTCAGACAAAGGCTAAATATAGAACATCAGCTAAAATACTATGACTGTGGAGAGTATTTGCATTGTAAGAAATTCCCCTCCATCAACTTCCTCTGTGGTAGATTTTAAAAAAGAGTGATGTTGACACTATGACAACAAGAGGGAATTAATAAGGTTATCACTAAGGAATCTGCTTGGTGTGAGTGCATCCCCCATTTCTGTGTGACTTTAAGCCAAAAACAGGATATTTTAATATGTTAACAGTTCAGCTGTTGTTTCTAACCTATATTATGTTTAGGAAGAGTGCAAGGCAATGAAGCAATGGAGATACATGAATGCATGCAACATGAGACACTCTGGTTTACAACCACTATGCTAGTTCGAACTACATCTGGGCCTAGTCTAAGATCTCTACTAGCAGGACAAGCAAAGAGCAATAGAAGGTCAGGATATCATCAGGACGTAAAATACGACAACATCTAAAAATAAATAAATAAATATATATATATATATATATATATATATATATAATGCATAATTTGCTGGCATGAGACATTATGAGGAAGATGACAAATGGTGCGTGCAAAAAAGTAGGCTTTTAAACAGATATCACTTGGTTAGATGATATCGACAATAGGCAAGCAATGGGCTATTCTAGGAGCAGAGAGACTATGAAGCATGCAGGTAGGTTCGTAAAAAGGTCAGAGTCAATTCCAGTTCATTTCAGCCAATGAAAGAAAATATCCTTATTGGAAGCTAATTGTAATGGAATTGTCCCAAAACCCTGGTTAGTAAAGTACTGTAGCTCTACAGAGGTAAAGATCTACAGAAGGGAGAAGAACCCAGGCCAAGCAAAAGCTGTGCTCACTTTCAAAGTCAAGGAAAAAGTTTGGCCCCTGCTCAAGCTCAGTGCAAGTGAGCACTTTTAATAGATTCCCCATTTGGTTTCTGAAAGAGAGAAAAACGAGAAGAAAAGGAGAGAAAAAAAGAGGCGTGTGGTGTGTTAGAGAGATAGCCATGGAGAGAGATCGAGACAGGTACAGAGACAGCTCCATAGCTTTAGGTCCAGGAGTGACCCATAGATACAAACCAACTGCTTACTGACTGACTATGGGAAGAGGTTTGTGATTACACTGACTGAGGCTGAAGGAGGGAAGAGTTTCATGGTTACACCTCCTGTCAAACTCCTTCAGACTTACTTTCAAAGTCCAGGAAAAAATGTGGATAGTTCTCTATTTCCCTTGTTAGGACTTTTAGAAGATTACCCATTCCAGCAAACCTGATCAAAAATGAAAGAATGATAGAAACAAAAAAAGGTAAAAGTAAATCCTTTTAGATGCATTTGAATATACGTACAATTCAATGTGTCAAATTATTCAAGAGAACATTCACTGTGGTAAAAACATTCAATGATTATAAAAAGACAATGCATTTATTTATAATCTCCTTTGAACACATTTCACACTAATATACAGCACATCAACAGAGGTTGTTTCAACTCGTTTCTGCCCTTTATAGACTTTGATAACCACAGCGACAATATTTGTGTAAAGCGAAAGTCACTCAATCTCATAGACCTGACTGGTAAGTGGTTCTCTTCCACAGACACTCAGAACAATGAAAACAATCTTCTAGAGGCCGCTGTCAAACATTCCAGTCCATTAGCATTCTCTCACCAGTGTGTATGGTACAGTTATAAGGTGAGGTGTCCTCTACTCCAGCGATTCAGAACTGGTGGGTCGCAACCCACATTTTTGAATAGGTCGCGGGTGTCTGAGCAACATTTTTTGAAATAAAGACAAACATACTCCAGTCTGAAGTTAAACCAGGTAGAAATTGTGTAGAAATGATATTGAACTTACATTGTTGAATAATTTAATCCATGGGCGCAACTTTCACTGGGGACAGGGAGGGACAATCTGAAATTGCATTTTTGTCCCCTCCCCCCAGTTTAATTATTGGAATGTCTGGGGCGGAAGGTAGTTTAGTGGTTAAGAGCGTTGTGCCAGTAACCGAAAGGTCGCTGGTTCTAATCCCCGAGCCGACTAGGTGAAAAATCTGCCGATGTGCCCTTGAGCAAAGTAACCCTAATTGCTCCTGTTAGTCGCTCTGGATAAGAGCGTCTGCTAAATAATGTAAATGTAAAACGAATGTGATACAAAACCGGGCAACAGTGTGCTTTAGGACCATGTGGACACCTCCGAGTGTCGGTTGGAGTGTTTATCAGACAGGATTCCATTTTTTTTACTTTAAATACAAGTTATGTCCCCCCCACTTCTAAAACCAAAGTTGCGCCCCTGATTTAATCTCTGAAATGTTTTTCTTCAATCACAGTATTTTCAATATAGAGCTATTAGCAGTGGTATTTTGGTTGATTTAGTGGTTTCAAACCAGAGTTAACTAACATTCTTCATCAAGAATATGGGCAAAAGGTTATTATTGACAAAGAAAGAGGTGGGAATGCTGTTCCCTTGTCATATAATTGCTACACTTACTATCAATATAGCATTAAAAATTGTTTTCCAGATTTTGGCAATTATTTTCCGCAATGCAAATATTGGGTCTCGACTGAGACAACCTGGTTCAACCAAGGCAAAACCAGTTGAAAACCACTAATCTACTCCACATCAAGATATAGTGATGTGATTTAGTTGTGGGTTAGGTGTTCATGGAATGCATGTACTAGGCCTGTGTAATGGAATAACACACTGGCTCCTCTATGTCTCACAGTGTGTGTGTGTGTTTGTGTGTGTGGTGTGAGTGCATGCGTATTTAGAGGCCTGAGGAAATTAAAACAGAGGTTCTTCATATCAAGTCTTTAGAAGATGAAGTTCTTTAAGAGCTCAGTCTTGTTAAATCAATAGAAAGGGGTATTTATGTCTTAAAAACACCAGTTGAGCCACTCTTTAAACCATTTCATTGGAGGCAACAACAGGCGGTAGTAATTTCCAGAGGATAGGCTACTTTAAGCACTGCTTTACGGGTGGTCCCTATAACACATAATTACACACCAGGCTAGCTACATCAGAGGCTAGTGAACATGATAACCATTAAGCAAGGGTGATCTATTGCAGTGGTTCCCAACCAGGGGTACTAGGACCCTTGGGGGTACTCATGACTAAGTCGCTTTGGATAAAAGCGTCTGCTAATTGGCATATTATATTATTATAACTTGGGCTATCCACGGGGTACTTGAGAAGACTCATGAGACCACAGGCCTACTGGTAAAATGCACATGAGGGGGTACTTCAGGGGTACTCCGGGCAGAGCAAAATTCTAATTGGTGGTACATTAACCAAAAAGGTTGGGAACCACTGATCTAACGCAGCCACTGCTGGACCCAACAGAACGGGTAGGGAGTGAATGAGTGCAAACTTTCAGGAGAAGACAGATTATCAGAATGATCAGGCCTATTGGCTGTTTGGGTCTACTTATGCATGCGTTTTGTGATTTGATTGGTCCATAAGCTAAGTATGTTAGTAAAACTGATATGCATGTCTCTACTGTACTATTTAGTAGGCTATATCCAGGTGTTCAATTCTAGAGAATTCACACACAGTACAGTGATATATTAATGCTGCTTTTTCCAGATACCAGACAGTAACTATTAGATTGGTGACACAAAGTCCCACTGTTACAGTGTGCTCTGCACATGATCATCACACTGTATGTCTCCCTCTCCCACATTGCATCTCTCTTACTGGAAAGCTCTTCAAAGTGACAGGCTAACGCTTAACAACAATGCATACGTAAGTCAACCAGTCAATCAATCCCTTTTGGAATCTTCAGCCCCTCACATACTCCTGAGAACGTAATCCACTTCATTCCATTTCATTTGAGGGGTGCATCACCTTTTGCCCACTAGGGGTTGCTGTTGGCTCATGTTGCTTTTTCCCAGTACAGTGCAGTACTTCATTGAATGTCCTAGAGCAGTTGACTACTGGGTTTGCTTCTCTCCTTTCATAACTTCAGCATAGAGCAGTTTTAGATACGGTACACTGGCTTTTGTTCCAGCGCAGCACTAACACCACTAATTCAGCTAACAGTGGTCTCGATTCTAGAGACCACTATTCAGTTGAATCAGGTGTTGGTACAAAAGCCTCGAGTGGGAGACCCACTGCAGTTGTCAAAGTTCCAGACTGTGTCCCAAATGGCACTATATTCCCTACATTGTGTAGCACTACTTTCGACCAGAGCCTCATGGGCCCTAGTCAAAAGTAGTGCCCTATATAGGGAATTGGGTGTCATTTGGGAAGAAGACCAGTGTAGCTGTGTGGAGTACAGAGGAGAATGTGGAACACAATGATGTATCTTTTTGTCTTGGGCGGGCTGGATGATTCTGTTTATCAGGTTCAAATGGACTCTGTAGATTCACTACTGTTACCGGTCTCAGTCTCATGTGTCACACAGAGAAATTGAAAAATCCAGCCAAGTCCAGGCCCAGGGCCAGTCTAAACAAGCACAAGCTAATATTCAGAGAGGGAGATGGGGATAGTTAGGCTGGGTATTACCATAGTAACAACAATGTGCTGACTGGCTGTATTATTGGTGTACTATTAAATCACCTTACGGTCACCTGGAACCTACCATATAGAACAGGGTCCTTCAATTCCGGTCCTGGAGGGCCGAAACACTTCTGTTTTTTATTTCTACCTGGTAGTTAATTGCACTCACCTGGTGTCCCAGGTCTGAATTAGCCCCTGATTAGAAGGAGAGGATGAAAAACAGAGGTGTTTCGGCCCTCCAGGACCGGAATTGAAGAACCCTGATATAGAAGGTCTAAGGAACACTGACTAAAAACAAACATGTTCCTATATAAAGAATTCCTAGGAATAATGAAGAGATCTTAGCGGTGTGTGTGTGAGACAAAGTCTTCAGCAGGCCTCCTGCTATAAGACAAGGCCTTTCCAGTGGAACCATCAGATGCCTCTCACTGACAGAATGGTAAATATGGAGGGGAATTCAGACCTGCTCGGTTCCACTGTCAACTATTTATCTGCATGTTTGAACCTGAAAACCAGTGATTGAGTGATTTAATGTGCCTCCCTTTCCTGTGTTGGATTGGCTAAACCTAGAAACATGATACCTCACAGCTTTAAAAAGGGGCAATCTGCAGTTGGCTGTAGCAACTGCTGATTGCCCCTTTAAAAAAAGGGCCTTGTGTATCATTTTAAAGGGAAGTCTTTTAGGAGGACAGAAAGCAATACTGCTTTAACGGTCTGTCTAAAAGTCAAGTCTAAATGGTTGTGTTTCTTATTTTCTCTGCTGTGTGAGTTGTTGTCCTCAGTAGGGTTGGTTTAATACGCTCCACAACACTGTCCTGACTTCACTTTTAGAAATAGAACATTGTGAATGTTATTGTCACGCTTTGTGCTTCGTAATTAAAACTCACTCAGTACAATTAAAGTCGAAACGAGCGGAACGCTAAACGGCTTTCCTAGCTGCTTTTAAATTGAAACAACCTCTGTTGGGGAAAAGACAGTGTCTAGAGAAAAAAAACTTTTGGTTGAAACCAGGATATCATTTTGGTGCACATATTTCAGAACTGTAGTAAATTGATAACTAAACCCTCACGGGTGGTTGCCCAGACCAAGATTTAGTCCTACTCCTGGGTTGTGTTCGGTACGGAACGGTAGAAAAAACTTGATGAAACTGAGGATGTGCAACAGGAACTTGTCCAATAAGAAGATACATTTTAGTTTTCCTGTTGAAAGACTTTTGGCATTGGTGTGCTCTGCTGAACATGACCCAGGTCTTAAAACATTCCACTTCAAGTGGGTTTTCTTTTCAGGAGTACACTATCTGGGTCTGTGCAACCGATAGACAAACATCATTGGTGCAACCACCTCAAACAATTTTCAGTGTACATTACCAAATAGCTGTGAGAACATGGCCACAGACTCAAAGAGAAAGTTGTGTATCTTCCATAACAAAGAGGCTAATTTTAG